TGTAGAAATGTATAAATATATAAATAGTATAGTAGAAATACCCCCTCATCTAAAGATTCACTGGTAAATTATTCTAATATGGGAAATACGTAAGTCAAATTTTATGAAGTCTTTCAGAACAGCTTCCATCTCCTTTTACATAGTATAAGACAGTAAAAAACAGATACAATGTGTTGACATGTATATTATAACAAAAGAAATCACAGGACAAACTTCTGAAAAACACATACACAGAAAAAATTTTTTTAAAGTAGCATACTAAATCTAGCAAAATGAAAAGGCTAATAATATACCATATCCAACTGTGTTTTATTCCAGCATTAGATGTTATTTTGCCATTTGAAAAATCAAGGAATATATAATCTGCCTTATTAATGGACAGGATGTTTTAAGAACCCTGATAGGTACAGAAAGGCACTAGATAAAACTGAATATCTATTCATGATTTAAAAAAAATCTGACAATGTGGAAATAAAACAATTTCCTTAATCTGATAAGGATTGTCTACAAAAAACCTTATAGGTAGCCTTATACTTAATGGTGAAATATTACATGCTTTTCCCTAAGTTCTAGAACAAGGCAAGATATTCTTTTTCATCATTTCTATTCATTACTCTAAGATAAGAAAAAGAAATAAAAAACAAAGTTTTGAAATTAAGGAAAAGTTTCTTTTATTGACAGGATTATATATACAGAAAATCTAAAACAATCCACAAAGTATTTGAATAAATAATTGAGTTTATAAATGTCACTGGCTATGAAGTCAATATACAAAGATATAGCAATTCTGTGAATTAACCAAAAGAAGTGAAAAATGAATAATGTTTACAAAGCAAAGTATACCACATACTTAGAAACAAATTAAACAAAGATATTCAAGAACTCTATAATTATAAAACATCACTGAGAAAAGTTAAAGACAACTTAGGTAAATGGACTAGGTTTACCAACTGGAAGACTGGGGTGCGGTGGCTCACATCTATAATCCTAGCACTCTGAGAGGCTGAAGTGGGTGAATTGCTCTGAGCTTACAGGTTTGAGACCAGCCTGAGCAAGAGCAAGACCTCATCTCTAAAAATAGCTGGGTCTTGTGGCAGGCACCTATAGTCCCAGCTACTTGGGAGGCTGAGGCAAGAGAACTGCTTGAGCCCAAGAGTTTGAAGTTGCTGTGAGCTATGACCCTATAGCACTCTACCAAGGGTGACAAAGTGAAACTCTGTCTAAAAAAAAAGACTCAATATTTTAAAGGTGTCAATTGACCTAAGTCAATGCCAAGCAGTCGCAGAAGATTCATTTATGAAAACTAATAGAGATTCTAAAATTAATATAGAAACATTAGGATAGAGAAGACAACCTAGAGAAGTCTCTCACTACCAGATTTCCAAAACTACTATGAAGAAACTTAAGATAGTGTGGTATTTGTGCAAGGAAAGACAAATGAACCAATAGACAAAAAGTGCCTAAGCAGAAAAGAAAGCACAGTCTATTTGACAAATTTTAAAACACACATATACTCCCAAACCTACTTCATACCCTTCAAAGAAATTATTCCAAATGAATCATGGAACTAAATATAAAACTAAATATTAAAGAGTCTAGAAGAAAACAAAGCAGGATACATCCATTATCTTGGTTCAGGCAAATATTTGTTAAACAGGGCTCAGATCTCAAGTTGATCTTTATACTCATTAAAGACTGAGAAGTAGCCAGGCACAGTGGCTAATGTTTATAATCTCAGCATTCCTGGAAGCCAAAGCCAGAGGATTGCTTAAGGCCAGGAGTTCAAGACCAACCTAAGCAACACAGTGAGATCTCATTTGTATAAAACATTTTTTTCATTAGCCAGGCATGGTAGTGCCCACCTGTAGTCCTTGGTATTCAGGAGGCTGAGAAAGGAGGATCACTTGAGCCCAGGAATTTCAGGTTGCAGTGAACTATGATCACACAACTACACTCCAACCTGGACAACAGAATGAGACCCTGCCTCTAAAAAATAAAAAAACAATAATAAAAATAAAAGATTGAGAAGCAATCTAAAGACATGTTTACAGATGGCACCTGACCTTTCTGAAAGGATTTCTAGGAATTACCTAGCCCTGACTCAGTTTCCTGACTTCATAGTTCCACTTACTGTTAAGACCAGCATAATATAAGAACTATTTTTTTTTTGTGGAGACAGAGTCTCACTATGTCACCTTCAGTAGAGTGATGTTGTATCACAGCTCACAGCAACCTCAAACTCTTAGGCTTAAGCAATTCTCTTGCCTCAACCTCTCGAGTAGCTGGGGCTACCGGCTTCCACCACAATGCTCAGCTACTTTTTTGTTGCAGTTGTCACTGTTGCTTTAGCTGGCCTTGGCTGGGTTTAAACCCGCCAGCCTCAGTGTATGGTCAGCACCCTACCCATTGAGCTACAGGCTCCGTCACCACTATTTTTAAATTCCACTTGCCCACTGCTGCCTCTTCCCCTCTTCACATGTATCAAAACTGCCAGGACACTATGATTTAGTTGGTGCAGACCCTAACCCAGTTTCTGGATAACCATGGCAATTAGTCCTAAACAAATCAGAGTGTTACATTTCCCTGGTCACAGTGATTGGATTATGGTGGGCAAGTGAGGAGGTCAGAGCCAATCAGATTCAATGCAGATAATTTGGACTGGAACTGTTCAAAAAGACAATCACTCTCTTCTCCCTGAGATTTTAACCTGGGGAGATATTACCCTGGAGCTTCCAGGGCCAACTACTTAGAGACAGCCTGCTTGGAAAAAGGTAATGCAGAAGGATGCACATCCAAGACATGGAGACAGAACTTATCTAGATAACATAATTATCTTTTAAGCCTCAGGATCTAGCCATGCCTGAAACTAGTTGTATCCAAAGACTTTTTAGTAATCAAACCAAAAACTATCATTTAAAGAGTAAAAAGACAAGAAAGAAACTGGGAAAAGCTACTTGCATATATGTATATGTAATATACATATTATATTTTATGTGTATATATAATATATAATACATGATTTGCATATATGTATATGTATCTATAGAAATACATGTATATACAATAAAGGACAAATTACCAGAAGGAAATCCTTCAAGAAAACAAACAAAAAAGAAACCATGGGGCACAGTGGCTCACACCTGTAATCCTAGCACTCTGGAGGCAAACCACATATTATGTTTAGCAAAAGAAGCCAAACACATATAACTACATGTTGTGTTTCAACATTTATATGAAAATCAAGAAAAAGCAAACCTAATTAATTGTAATGAGAGTAAAAATTGTGGTTGTCCCTGTGGAGTAATTGATTATGGAAAAGGAGGATTAATGAGTTTCCTGAAGTCATAGAAACATTCTGTTTAAGAGAATTTATTCATAAATGTAATTTCATAAAGCTGTACACTGAAAGTTAGCATACTTCATGCATGTTAGTGCACGTATACTTTAATAAAACAGTAAAAAGTGGTTAAGGAGGAGTAGCACAGTTAGACTTTTAGAGATAAAGGGAAAAAGACAGGTAAATGTACCTGAAGCAGCTCATAGTGTTTATCTTCTTACATTAAAAAGCAGTAAAATCTTCCGTTTGAAGGCATCAAATATAAATCTTCCTCCCCTAAAATGACACCTTGTCTGATGCTTACCTCAATTATACTTAGAATAATTTCCCTCACTATCCACAGCTATTCTTGCTTTTGAGGTCACCCTAGGCTTGCAAGATGTCTTTCCCCTTGAGCAGAGTGACATCATAGTATTGGACTGGGCACAGGACAACAATCTTGCCCCACGTTGGGACAGAAGGACTGTAGTATTGGCAAAATGACAATGGTAAAGTTTGGCAGAAAATCCAGGAAGCTATGTATGGAGATATCCATGGAGTTGCTGCCTGTAAGCAAATTGAAGTCAAGCACTTAATGTTTAGTTTTGAGCAAAGGGATCCAATACTCAGAAAAACAAGATGAAAACCCGAGCCCATCAGGCCCTTCCACATTTGTCTCCCTGTCTGATGGCCACACTCAGTGTAGCATAATGGCTTCATCTCTAAAACCTTCCAAATCTCATACAAATTCTATACAACTATAACTAGGAATAGGAAAAAAAGTGATTCTGGGACATACAGTCCCTAGCCATTTTAACCCAGATTAATACAACATACTATTTAACTCAAAACATTTGATCCAATTCTCAACCATGAACAAGTACAAAGAATATAAATATAAAAATAGTGTATCAGAGACACAACCCCTCTTTCAAGCCCTTTGCACTTGTTAATTTCTGCTGAAATTATTTATTAAGCATGAAAAGTTTTTTTTTTTTGAGGCAGAGTCTCACTCTGTTCCTTGGTAGAGTGCCATGGCATCACGGCTCACAGCAACCTCCAACTCTTGGGCTTAAGCGACTCTCTTGCCTCAGCCTCCTAAGTAGCTGGGACTAAAGGCGCCAGCCACAATGCCCAACTATTTTTTGTTGCAGTTGTCACTGCTGTTTTAGCTGGTTCAAACCCGCCACCCTTGGCATATGGGGCCGGTGCCTGACTCACACAGGCATCGATGTGAGCCACAGGCATCGCCCCACATGAAAAGTTCTTAACAGTTTACTGATCATCTCAAAAATTATAACTTCTCTTAGTAAAAAAAAAAAAAA